CGCCCCGCCCGGCCCCGGCCGCCCCCCCCCCCCCCCCCCGGGGGTCACCGCCGCCGCCTCCCTGCCCGCGGTGCCGCTCGCTCGGAGCGCTCGGTGTTTAAATGCCCCCGACGCGGCGCTGTCTCAGCGACAGGAGCCGGGGAAGCCCCGCGGGCGCCGCAGCCATTGGCTGCCGCCCCCCACGTGCCTGCCCGCTGCCGGCGCCTTCGTGTCATTTTCCTGCCGGCCCCATGGAGGAAGTGGGAAAGTTGGCGCGGCCCCGCCGGACGCTGAAGACCCGGTGGCGGCGTGACAGAGGGACGCGGCGAGGATGAGCTCCTTCCTCGAGTACCCCGTCCTCGGCGGCGAGGCGGGGGGCTGCGCCGCCCGCGCCTACCACCCCGATCACGGGATTACAACTTTCCAGCCCTGCGCCGTCAGCGCCGGCAGCTGCAGCGGAGAGGACCGCTTCCTGGCGGGCCGCGGGGTGCCCATCAGCCCCCACCGCCACCACCACCACACCCCGGCCCAGCCCGCCGCCTACCAGCACCACGGCGGGCTGGGGGTGTCCTACGCGCACCCCGGCTGCGGCCCGACCTACAGCGCGCAGGGCTTCGGGCCGGCGTACGGCCCCTACCCCCTGGGGCAGGACGCGGAGCTGGGCGGCGGCTTCCCTCCCTGTGCCCCCGCCGTGTACTCGGGGAGCATCTCCTCCTCCGCCGCTGCTCAGCACCCGCTCCCTCACCAGAGCTACGCGGGGGCCTCCGCTCAGTACGTGCCTCCCCCTTACGGGCAGGAGCAGCAGGGCCTGCCCCTGGGCACCTACAACCATGCCCTGTCTCCCCTTCACGCTGGCCACCGGGAAAACTCCCGCTCCCCCTCCACCGAGACCTCGCCGCCGGCGCAAACCTTCGACTGGATGAAAGTGAAAAGAAACCCACCCAAAACAGGTCAGTGGCCGGCGGGAGGGCCGGGGCGGGGGCCGCTCCTCTCCGTGTCCGCCGCGGGTGCGGGGAAAGAGGCGCGGCGTCCCGCGGGGCGCTGGGCAGGTAGGGCGGCCCGCACCTCTGGGAGCAGTCGCGGCTGTCTGCCGGCGGAGCTGGAAGCCAGCGCCGCTTATTCCTCACTTATTCCTGACTCCCCCTTCTCCTCCTCTCCCGTGGTCATATTTCTGGTAATTCATAAACCACTTATCAAGTTTTCTCTGACACTAGAGGCTGACTCCGGTTTAGCACCTCGCACTCCATCACTCACCCTGCCGGGGTTTCCCTCTTATCCTAAGAAGTTCTTGCTCCCTATCGCTTAGCCGGTGTGGACACATTGATTACATCGCCTATAAATCATTTGCGCTCACTCACCGCTGCATGTCCCTTCGCAGGCAAGGCCGGCGAGTACGGCTTCGTGGGGCAGCCCAACACCGTCAGAACTAACTTCACCACCAAGCAGCTCACCGAGCTGGAGAAGGAGTTTCATTTCAACAAGTACCTGACCAGGGCCAGGCGGGTGGAGATCGCCGCTTCCCTCCAGCTCAACGAGACGCAGGTGAAGATCTGGTTCCAGAACCGGCGGATGAAGCAAAAGAAACGGGAGAAAGAGGGGCTGCTGCCCATCTCCCCCTCCACCCCCACGGGCTGCGAGGAGAAGGCGGAGGACTCGTCGGAGAAGTCGTGCTCCTCACCTTGCAGCGCCTCGCCCGCCTCCTCCGCCTCGGACACTCTCGCTGCCTCCAACTGAGACCGGCAGCACGGAGCGACGCCCCCGCCAGCTCGGCACGCGTCCGTCCAGCTCCCTTATGTGGGTCCCTCGGTCGCTCGGTGTCCCCGAGAGGTCCCGGTGAGCTGCCGCTCCCTGCCCCGCTACCTCCGCCGCCCCCGCCGCCGCCCGGCCCCGGGGGTGCCGGCTCCGCCGGGTCCCGGCGCCTTGGTGCCAGGGGATTTTCTGCCCGGCCCACCTCCCCCTTCCTTTTCTGCTGGAGGAGCTGTGTTGGCACACGCGTAAGGGTCTCCCTCCTCCACTGCAAGGACGCTCCACCGAGTTTCCCTGAGTGAAAGACAGGTTATATAGGGTACATAACCTCACAAAGAGATGCACTATTGCAAGTGTTTACACGACTTACAGGACTTTCATCCCCTTAATTTAATGTATTCTTTGTTCGTGTCAATGAGTTTGTTGCTTGTAAATACTTTGTCCGAGAGATTTATCTTTTTACAGATTTTTCTAGAATGATGTTTCGATTATCAGGTTAAGCAGGGTGAGTGCATTCGCCAAACTGGATCCATTTTTATATTGGTAAAGTAGACAGCTGTATAAAGTAAACGTCTTAAGCTCAAGCAGATACCTCAAATAAGTAGCGCTATTTCTTTAAATGTGACAAACGAGGCTTCAATTGCACTAGGTTTTTTAAACCTTACCCGGTGTGCTTGCTCCCTCTCCTTTTCCCCCCACCCCAAAAGCTGTGTTGGGTTATGCTCAGCTGAGGGGTACAACCATCCAAAAGACCTCGTCCTATTTTCATATAAACCTTCCTTTAGACTCGATGTCTTTTCAAACTACTCGTGAATGTGACAAATGGCCAAATGAATGTATAATTTCTGTGGTTGGTGTCCAGACCTTTGCATGACGCACCGTGCTTTGCTGTACTGCGGGTACACTGAGTTCTATCAGTTGTCGTGTGTGAGCAAAATGTCCTCCTGATTTTTCTGTACAATCATGAAAGGCTCTGTGATTCCACCAGTGGTGGAATCCAGGGCAGGATTTACGGGTCCTTATAATGTCTGTAATAAATATATTCCACTTTCAGGTAGCCCTCGTCTGCCTACTTCTGCGTGACGTCAGTGCTGAGTCACAGGCTGGGCTCAGCAGTTTTGTTTCTCTTATTTTCTCCTACTGGAGTCTTTCCAAGGGGGGAAAGGGAGTAAGAGTCTCACAGCCTTACTCCTTCTATGTTGTTTTGGCGGCCAGAGCTCTGGCTGCCCAATCTGACTTCCTACACAAAACTCCTTCCTCTCCTATGCTCAAATAATATTATTTTTAGAAAATATAAGGCCCTTCTCTCCATTCTCTGTAACCGGGAGGAATTTATGATCCCAATCTAATTCTGAAGCACAAACAGGAGAACTTCCTGGGTCAAGTGCTAACCTTTTCACCTCGGGATGGATGCTGACACTTAAATAAACAGAGCACCCTGCAAAAGCAGAAACTCTCTTCAGCCAGTCTTTCCTCACACTGCAGGCCCCTCTCCAAGGACTGCACATTTAATTAGCCTGGGCACTGAGCTTGTCCGGCTTCTCTCTCCCACCCCAAGCTGTTATCCCCAGCGCTTGATGGGGTGCCAAAGCGGGAGATGGCTCCCAGTGTTTTTGGTGTTAACCCCAGCCCGTTCCACTGTCCCCTCCCCTCTTTCTCCATGCCCCCCCACCGTCCCCTCGGTGTGCAAGAGAAAGCTCTTGCAGGTAAATATAATAACTATTCCAAGAAATGTAAAGTGAACTGCGGTCGGGAAGGGAGAGTTGTCTCTGTGGGGAGAACCTGGGTGGCAAGACAGAGCAGAGACCTGCTCAGCTGGACGGGGGATGTCTCAAGTCACTGATGCCTCTTGAATTACAACGCAAACACGCCTAACATCTCCTTCACCCGGCCCAGCTGCGGGAAGCGCCACCGGCCTTCTCCCGGGGCTGCTCTGCCCACGCAGGCTTTGCTTTGCGGGATCCGCAGAGAGCCAACGAAATTTTCTTCACTTCGGTGTCAAAAGAGACAAGCCTTGATTTGCAAGGCGCGGCGGCCATATCAAGAGCCGAGCTATCTGCAAAGGAGCAGGGCTGTCTCCAAAGGCTCCCGCCGATGCCTCTATTTCTTTCATTTCCCCGCCTGCCATATACTTTACCTTTTGTTTATTAGTGTAAAGCCACAAAGCAAAACAGATGGCCTTCTTCCAGAGTCTTGGATGTGTTAAAGTGGCATTTACATGCCAATGAGGGCATTTCAATATCGAAATCTGGATCTAAACATTGCTGGAATCCGGATCTACAACTCGATTCCACCGGTGTTGACTCAATGTGTTAGAAAGAGCGGCCATAAATTACAGCCTAAATACGAGAGACAAGACACTTGTCAGTGCATCAATCTGTGATGAGCGATTCTCGAGCAGAGAATCCCATCTCCTTCCAAGCCCAAACTCCATATCCATATATATATATATATATATGTATGTATGTATATTCGCCCCCCTCCCCCCGCAGTCATAATGTATTTCAAGCAAAGACGCTCCAAACCTCCCCATCTTGTCTCGTTTATTTAGCGTTAATACTATTTCGATACCATCAGCCTTTGGGTTCAGAGATGCAGCAAAAAGAAATTAAAATCTCTAGCCTACAGTTTCTACCACAAAAATGTCGCTAAAAAAACCCCACAAAGTGCTTTCAATGAAGACAGTAATTTACCCTTCGTGTTGTAAGGATTTTTTTTACACATTTTAAAATTAAAAAAAAAAATCTGTCTAGAATCTCAGGGGAAAAAAATGAAGAAAACCCCCGCCTCTCATCAAAACCCGTCAACAAAAATCGCATTCAAATGTCAAACGGAGTTTAGTATCTTCCTATCATACTTAAGGCCATTTCTGCTGTTCACCTTTAAAGTTTACTTTTGGAGGCTATTGAGATGCTTTGGTGTTTTCCTCTGGGGCAATCAGATTGAAACCGATCAATATTTACTCAGTCTGAAAGGGCTGTTGAAAAGGCAGCTAACAACAAACTGCTTAGCTGCTCTCCCCTCTTTAATCTCAGGTTCACCGAAAGTTCAAGCAGAAATGAATTCGGTGATGGGTCACTTTAGAATAAATCCCAGTAGTTAATCTCACAGCCTTGATAAAGGCAACAATTACAGAGTCATCCCTCTCCCTCTCTCTCTCGCTGTCTCCCCGGCCGCGGCAACTTTCCTCTCATTTTTTGCCCAGCAGATTTTTACTAAATT